CTTGATTAGAGTTTACACATTTTCAAACCATTAATATGCACTAAGCAAATCATCCTCTAGAGAGACTGTCTCACTTCGTTAGCTCATACAATCTCCTCCACCTTCCCCAGTGGGAGTAGCACAAAAAAAAAATTTTTTTTTTTTTTTTTGAGACAAGGTCTGCTATGCAGTTCAGGCTGGCCTGGAACCCCCAGCGATCCTCCTGCTTCAGCCTCCTAGTGCTGGGATTACAGGCGTGCACCACCATGGTGGTATACCCATGTAATCCCAGCACTTAGAAGGCTATTCACTATTTTTTTAAAGCTATACTGTGAGAACTAATAAAAAAAAAGACCATGACTATATTCCCTTCTGTAACCCTGAAGTGTCTGGCCAAGGACCCCTCACAAGCACAGCGTTAACTGTGCTAGAACCAGAACGTGGAACTGGTACTGCCAACTCCTCTTCGTACAGAGCAGCCTCAGAGCATCAAGACATTTTCTAGAGCATCTCAGCTCAGTTTTACAAAATGTCTATTTTTTTTTTTTTTTTTTAGTCTTTTTGAGACAGGGTCTCTCTATGCAGTTCAGACTGGGCTTCAGCTCACTTTGTAGCCCGGGCTGGCCTTGAACTCGCAACAATCCCCCTGCCTCAGCTTCCCGAGTGCTGGGATTACAGGTATGCGCCACCATGCCTGGCACAAAATGTCTATTACTGTCTCAAATTTAAGTAAAATAAAAAATTATGGATATTTAAAAAAAAAAAAATCACAGTTCAGTGAGTTTCCACTCTCATTATTTACCCATTTGTTTTTCTTCTTTTGAGACAGGTTCTCACTATGTAGGCCAAGCTGGGCTCTAAGTCTTGATCGCACTGCCTCAGCCTCCCAAGTGCTGGGATTACAGGGGTGTTGCCACCATGTCTGACATGATTACCAATCTTCTTCAAAAACATAATTATAAATTAAAGAATCAGAAGGAGGTCAGAACTAGCACCACAAACCCAATCCCCAAACCACTGAATTTTGGGTCACTATACCTGGGAAGACAATGGATTAGCTGACTCTGAATTTTCCTAAACGCCTCTCTTCTGAGCTTTGATTTCTACATTTGCCCACTCATTTCTCAGCTAAATAATTAGTTAAGGGGCCGGGGATATAGCTCAGCGGCACAAATGCCTGCCTGGCAAGTGCAAGATCCTGAGTTCAATTTGCAGCACCGAAAATAAGTAAATGAACAAATGAATAAATAAATAGTTAAAACCTTTAGTGAAAAGAGAATCAAGAAGCTCTTGCGACAGTGGGCACAGTGCACACACCTGTAATCCCCGCATTTAGGCGGCTGAGGCCTTGTGATTTCAAAGCCAACCTGTACTGGGGCTGGGGATTTGGCTCAGCGGCACAGCGCCTGCCTGGCAAGCGCAAGGTCGTGAGTTCAATTCCTGGTACCGGAGAAAAACCAAAAAAAAAAGCCAACCTGTACTACACAAAATGAACCTCTCTTTTAAAAAAAAAGCAGCACTGTGTCATAGTACCAGCGACACAAGGCAGGTTTTCAACCCTGGTTGTCTTAAACTAGGCTCAAAACTTTGCAAAAGGTGCAAAACATCTGAGCCAATTTTCTTATCTATCTAAAATGGGGACAGTTAACAAGTGTTCCTCTCATAAAACTGCTAAAGAATCACAGGAAACAGCTGGACAATGCACCCCACAAGGAGGAGTCTTCAATGACAGCTTGCTTCCCTTCTCCCAAGCTTCATCCTAGGCATTCAGCCTCTAGTAGAAGTTCCCATTATGCTAAAGGAAGGCCAGATGAATGTTCCTTTTGAACGGAGACCTGCCCAAGAGACAGGAGCCTCCAACACTCACCTTCTCTGCCATCCCCTCTTCTCCTCCAATGAAAAAGTCCGTTTTGCGTCGAAGGAAGCTGAAAAAGGTGTTCACAAGCTGAAAGAGAGAGAGAGAAGCCTGGAGCTGCGGGGTGCCGTGCTAGGTACCCTCAAGTGCACAGAAGGCAACTTCCTTAGTCCAGGGGGGACTGCTTCACTGAGCCTCCCGGCCAGGCCCCCTTGGTCACTCCCACTAGCAAGCCTGCCCTACCCTTCTCTGACTTCTTGTGTGTATCTGTGTACACGATCCACTTTTGTTGTGGCGCTAGAAGCAGCTTGAACATATAGAATACTGTTCCTCTTTAGCTAGGCCCTAAAATGCCTAAACTCAACTTTCACCTCCAGAAAGTAGAACATCTATCAAAATCCCAAGAGAGCCAGGAAGGGAGCAAATGAAACCACTTCCATGAAGCTTAAAATGGATTAACTCTGGCTGAAGGACCAATGTAACCAAGTGCCTGAATTTGAGCACGGGACCAAGGGATTAGCTAGGTGACTTGGGGGAGCTTCTGAACTAACACTGCAGGACCCACTTCTAGGACCTTCTGAAGGTCACGTGAGGTAATGGGGATGAGCCTTTCACGGTGTCTGCCATACAGCAAAAGTCTCACTCGTAGAAGGTAAAATCATCTTAACACTGGAACCATCAACCATGGCAACAGACAGTTGCTAAATCATAACTTGTCTCAGGATCTTTTAAATTTACAGTGGTATAAAAACAACATACGTACAGAAATCAAATTTTGAATTCTGATCATTCATTGGGCCAGCAATGTGTCTGTTCTCTTGCAATGCTAGGCAGTGAGCCTCAGCTCCTCACCAGCTACTCCATCATGAGGGCAATGAACCTAGGATCTACAGTGCACTGTGTTGCTAAGCTGTGATGTTTAGTAAATGAGATTTTTTTTTTTGATAGCAGAAATTGAACTCAGGACCTCACACTTGCCAGGCAGGCACTGCACCGCGGAGCTATACCCAAGACACATTTTCCTGCTCAATCGTATTTCCAACTTACAATGGTTTTATCAGGATGCAACTCCACTGAATGTCAAAAAGCACCTATCTATATATGCTCAAAGCAATTCTTGCTAAATCTAGTAGTAACATAGGGTCAGCACAAATAAGCCCTTTTATTTGTCTGAGTGGTTCTAAGTCTGATGCTAGAATTATCTCAGCAATTCTTGTTTCTAGACACTTTTTCAATTTACTCAAAAATAAACTCACTCCCAAATCCATTTTGTGTCAATAATTTAGGGGACTGGTGACAAAGAGCCTTTTCACATTTGTAGAGCAGAAACACCCTACAATCTCAAAGGGTTTACAAATCCTTGATCACTATAGGCAACTAGGGACAGAGTGAGAATGGAAACTCAGTGGAAGCCTGTCCCCAGTGTGACACAAAATCTGCAGTAGACTGTGCGGAGTACACTGACCCAAGGAGCTTGGTATGTCCAGGTCAAGAGCTTTACAGTGATCAAGTCCCTGTCGCTCTCTCTGGCTTTCTGGGGCTTTAAGGAATGTGGGTTCTGTTTTTTTGTTTTGTTTTGTTTGGAATGTGGGTTCTAACCTAATTTCTCTTCTTTTTTTTTTTTTTTTTTTTTTTTTTTTGTCCTTTTGAGACAGGGTCTTGCTATGCAGTTCAGGCTGGCCTTGAGCTCACTGTGTAGCCCAGGCTGGTCTGGAACTCCCAACGATCCTCCTGCCTCAGCCTCCCAAGCGCTGGGATTACAGGCGTGTGTCACCACGCCAGGCCTGACCTAACCTCAACAGCCTTTTCTACTTCTAATTTCTGTTTCTGCTTGAGAAAACGAAGTACAGAATCTGTGTTACTAGTTGGGCCTTGTCATTTATACAAAATAAGTTACTGTGTCACACACAATGAGTTATTTGTCACTGGGCACGATTGTTCATAAAATGCTCTTTGTCAGCTCCAGAAGAGCCAAGTGCAGGATTCCCAGAATCCAGCTGTTTGAGGGTTTCACACACAACAATCATTCGTGACAAACACATGTTGAATGAACAAGTCTCCCTGAAAACTCAGTCCTTCAAGACACTACTCTCCTGTAACTAGAAACAGGGATTTGTAGTTCCGTCTTCTACACAGAAAAAGTGAGGCTTGAAGAGATGGAAAGGTCCCAAATTGGTATGCGATGGAAACCAACTGTAAATCCAGATATCCTATTCCCTCATTCAAGGCCTAAAACGCTGGGTGTGGTGGCGAACACCTGTAGTCTCAGCACTCAGGAGGCTGAGGCAGGAGGAACATTGAGAGCATGAGGCCAGTCTGGGCTACATAAATTCGAGGCTGGCCTGCACGGGACCCTGTCTACAAAAAAAAAGAAAAAAAAAGGGGGGGGTGCTAAAAAGACCAGGTGTTAACATCACCCAGCTCTCCAGCCCCCACCCCGCACACTTTGATGGGGGGGCTCTAAGTCTGGGTAAATGCAAATCACGATGCGATAGTTCAAAGGATGTTCTTCGGCCGCAGCGATCTAGGGGAAACGCGGCCAGTGCGTGCGTGGCACCAATGAGTGAACGGGGGAGTCCTAAGGCTCTGGGGAGATTCTGGAAGAGAACAGGAAGCGCAGAACTGCTAAGACAGTAACTACTGAGGGGCGTCTAGGGGCTGGGACAGAGAGCAGAGGCGGAGCCCTCCGGCACCGCGGCCGGGCCGGAAGCTGGGGCGTAGTCAGAATGCAGGGGAATCCCTGGCGCCCGCGAGGCCAACGGGGGTCGACCGCGACCCTCAAAGGAAGAGCAGGATGGAGGGAACGTGGCGAGCGCGACGCGTGGGCGAGCGCGGCCGAGCCCGGTGGGCCGACGCCGCGAGGGCCGTTACCTCCTGCACGCCGCCTTCGTGCTGTTGTGCCATGGCCAGCAACATGCCGTCGAAACGCTCCTCCTCCTGCTCTCCGCCCATCGCGCCGTCCCCGACCCACGCTCGGTGGTCTGCACTCGCGTCCCGCGCCCTGCCCGCTTCTTCAGACCGCCTTAAGGCCTAACCGCTCTGGTCGCCCGCTTCCGCAGCGGAGCCGGAAACACGCACGCGCCCCACCGCCCAGGCCCGCCTCCTCTCTCTCTTCCCGCCTCCCTCCAGCCCCATGACCACTTACCGCGCGGCAAATAGCCCGCTTCGCAGCCCATTGGTTGATGTGCCGAGCCAATCAACAAGCGCGTCCGCGAGGCGGTGGGCGGAACCAAAGGTCCAGGAGTTTGGCTTAAGTTGCTATGGTCACCAGATACTCTTGGAGCCCTCTAGAAAGCCCTGGACTCAGATGGGGGAGGAAGCGGGGGAGATGAAAAAAGGACTAGCTTTGCTTCGTGTTGCTAATGACCTCCCATCTTGTAGCACAGCGGAACCGCAAGTGCCTTTAGTCACCTCTAACACCCCTACGTGAGGCAACTGAGATTTAAAAGGCACTTGGCAGAGCAGCCTAGCCTACCTCCGTTGCTACACCCACGTATGCACACAAGGACAGCTTTATGGGCATACAAACCCCATTTGCACTTTAGGAGGTGTCACAGTTTGGATCATAAACGTCCCCCAAAAGCTCATGCATTGAAGGATTTGCACCCAAAGCAGCAGTGTTCATAGTGGGCCCTGTGGGGGTGATTTGATCAAGAGGGTGCTGACCTCGTCAGTTGGGGAGGGGGCTTTGTTATCAAAACCAGCTCTCTGCTGGGCATGGTGTTGCCCGCCTAGAGCAACACTAGGAGAAGGAAGATTTGGGGCTGCCTGTACTACACAGTTAGTCTAAGCCCAGCCTACATAGTGCTCAACATAGATAGTGGTTTGTTTGATTTTTTTTGGTACTGGAAATTGAACTCAGGACCTCGTGCTTGCCAGCCAGGTGCTTATGTCACTGAGCTATATCCCCAGCCCTTTTTTTTTTTTGGTACCGGGAATCAAACTCATGACCTCAGGCTTACCAGGCAAGCGCTTATGCCACTGAGCTACATCCCTGGCCCCCAGCCTACATAGAGACCTTGTCTCAGAAAACCAAAACCACCGAGTTTGGTGGCTCCTACCTGTAATTCTGGCACTCTGGGAGGCTGAGGCAGCGGGGTCACAAGTTCAAGCCCAGCCTGGGCAATTTAGTGACTTCGTGACTTACTCTGTCTCAAACAAACAGTCTGGGCTGTACCTCAGTGCAAGCTTTCTGTCTGCTCCACCGCATGCTCCCTGCTTCTCGGCTGTGTGTCACCAGCGGCCCAGACAGGCCGGGGCCAAGCAACCATGGACTGAATTGCGAGCCAGAGGAAATCATTCCTTTTTCTAAACTGTTCACCTGTAATCCCAGCACTCGGTAGACCGAGGCAGGAGGATCCTTGCGAGTTCAAGGCCAGCCTGGGCTACAAAGTGAGACAGCCCTGACTGCATAGCAAGACCCTGTCTCAAAAAGCCAAAAAAAAAAAAAAAAAAAAAAAAAAATTGTTCTCCTCAGGTATTTTTTTCATAGCAATGGAAGGTTGACTAATGCAGGTCTCTATGCTTAAGGTTGACACTCTAAGTTAAGTGAAGTTAACACTTCACTTGTAGCCTTGAAATTCTCAGTAATTGCTAAATAAAGATCCCCACTTTTCACTTTACATCGGTCCCCACAAATTGTGTAACAGGTGCTGTTAATGACTCCTATTAATGCTAGCACGGTTTGTCCCGTGCTGTGGACTCCTTCTAGAGAGTCTTTCCAGGTTCTTGTTGTCCTGAACAAAGACTTGGACAACTGAAAAAGATAACAAGGTTTTAGATTTATTAAAGGTAAGAGGCCAAACATGGTGGCGCACAACTGTAATCCCAGCACTTGGGAGGCTGAGGCAGGAGAATCACCATGAGTTCAAGGCCAGCCTCAACTGCATAGGAAAATCCTGTCTCAAAAAGACAATAAATGATAAATAGGAAAAGAAGGACACTCTGCAGAGTGACAACTGACCACTAAGAGCACAGTGGCCATGCAGGGTTAGGGGAGGCCTTCTTTGTATTTCCTGTTCTTCAGGCTGATGTCAGATCGATTGCCATCCTATCAAAAACCTGCTTGATCTCATACCAGAAGAACTGAGAATAACACTTTCTGGTTGGTCCCAGATGCCGGTCTTGTTTTTCTGAGCATGTGTCCTATATCTCTGTGATTGACAGATCACACTCACATCCTAAATTTCTGGCCTCATTAAATATGGGGGCTGGTTTCCAGCAATTTCAGGACAACGTCTACACTTATTCAATAAATTCAGCATCTTAGTTCTTTTGAAGATTCTCCCCTGTGATTCTTTATATTTCTTCGAGGCCCTGCATCACATATTTGTTTCTTCTGGATTATGCCCTTCAATGTACATGTGTGCTTTAATATCACTTTTTTTAAACTACTGCTTGAGCCCATGCTCTTTCTGCTGCCATCACGTTTTCAGTTCATTAACAGCAAGACCTGAAAAGATTGCTGTATTTTCCTTTCGAGGCAGGGTCTTGCTATATAGTTCAGGCTGGCCTTGAGCTCACTTTGTAGCCCAGGCTGGTCTCGAACTTGCAATGATCCTCCTGCCTCAGCCTCCAGAGTGCTAGGATTATAGGTGTGTACCACCATGCCCTCCCTGTCCCGAAATTTTTTTTTAAAAAAATTTTTTTAAAGAGTGCTGCCCGGAGGCCAGGGATATAGCTCAGCAGCCCAGCACCTGGGTGGCAAGCACAAGGTCCTGAGTTCGATTCCTGGTACCAAAAAAAAAGAAGAGCACTGTACTATTTCTTCATTTCCTCACCTTCTACCTCTCTCCAGTTTACTTGAATTAGTCTTAAAGGGCTTAGAAAAAGTCACAACACTATATATCACCAAAGCAAATGAACAATTATTATTTTACCTGACCTCTTAGCTATATGTGATACAAGTAACCCTTCTTTCAAAGAACACTTTTCTTCCTTAAGGTTTCTGTTATGGACTGAACTGTGCTCCCCCAAGATTCATATGTTAAAGCTCTAACCCCAACGTGACTGCATTTGGAGAAAGGGTCTTCAAAGAGGTCATTACGGTTACATGATTTTGTACATGTGGGGCCCTAATCCAAGAGGACTGGTGTCCTTACAGGAAGAGGAACAGACACCATGGGTGCACACAGTGGAAAGGCCAGGCCAAGGACACAGTGAGAAGGCAGTTGCCATCTGCAAACCATCTCTGATACCAGACTCAGAGCTACAGAGAACAGCACTGACTCTCCCTCTTTGGACTAGGGACACTGAGAATTGGCCCATGTCCCTTGCTTCAGACTGAAGGTGCCCAAGAACAGGATTCATCTCTTCTATCAGAATAAGGACTCTGTGGGCTGCCCTGGGTCACTCCATCAGATTTCAGGTTCCCAAAGTCAGAACTGTGCCTCCCCACTCAATATTGAGGTCAGAGCCTGGGCCAAGGGCAGCTGATGGCCCATCAGTCTCTGACCCCAGCTTCCCACCTCCAAAAGAAAATGACGCCTGTCAGGTCAGGGCTTTAGAGATTCAGCAAGGCTTTTCCTTACACTCAGGGACTCCAAAACAGACACCCCAGTCTTCAGGCCACACAAAGAGCTCAGAGAACAACATTTCCTCATGGGGTTAAAAAAAAAAATTCAAGACATGGCCAGGCATGGAGGTGAATGCCTGTAATCCCAGCACTCGGGAGGCTGAGGCAAAAGGTTCACCGTGAGATCAAAGCCAGCGTGGGCTACATAGTGAGTTCAAGGCCAGCCTGAACTACAAAATGAGAATCTCTCTCAAAAACAAAAACAAAAAAAAGATGACACTGGCTTAGCCAGAAAAAAACTAAAGAACACATAAAACCCAAGACATGAAACCAGGGACCTAGCTGACAGCCCAGCAGAGGGCCTCTCCCCCTTCAACTTCCTTTTCCAGAAAAGGGAAGTGACAGCAACCATGATGACAAGTGTCATGTACAGAGCACTTGTTGTATGTCCTCACAGACACCAAGGAAAGGCCCTGTCAGAGCAGATTTCCCATAAAGCTAAGAGGCTGGGGCTGGGGCATAGCTCAGTGGTGGAGCCCTTGCCCAGTGGGGGTGAGGCCCTGGCTTCCATGCTCAACACTGCAAATTAGCGGGGTGGCGCACGCCTGTAATCCCAGCACTCGGGAGGCTGAGGCAGGAGGATTGCTGCGAGTTCAAGACCAGCCTGGGCTACAAAGTGAACTCAAGGCCAGCCTGAACTGCAAAGCAAGACCCTGTCTCAAAAAAAAACAAAACAAAAAAAACCCTGCAAATTTAGGGCCCTGCACTTCCACACAGGCACATCTTAGGCACTAAGAAAAGCCCCAGCAATGTCTTTGTAGGTCAAATATAGAATTTATTTTTCCTTTTAACTTGAACAAGTAAAATTTTTGAACTACAACTGGTTAAGATGACTGTTTTTTCCCACTCTATCCGACTTTCCCTAGAATCAGGTGATGTCAAAGAGGCCACAAGGACTTGAGGATGCAACTAAAGGGAAGTTGTACTGGAGATGCATTTGGTTTGGAATTGGTGGGAGAGAGTTAGATGGCTGGTGTCCTTGCGAACTCTCCTGGCGTAGACAGAAATTATCTACAAACAATCCTGTCATTCACAGTGTGCCATTACCATGCTGAGCCAGAGGTCTCATCCCAACGAAAATGATTCCCAGCACACCAGAAATTCTTTCAGTCCTCACACGTGCAAACTGTCCCTTCATAATGACACTAACTCAGAAAGGAAGTTCTCTCTCATAAGGAAGATATGGAATCTATATCATTATCTCAGATGTTCTCTGCAGAGTTTTCTTTTTTTTTTTTCTTTAGTACTAGGGCATGTGTGTGTGTGTGTGTGTGTGTGTGTGTCTTTTTGAGACAGGGTCTCGCTATGCAGTTCAGGCTGGCCTTGAGCTCACTTTGTAGCCCAGGCTGGTCTCGAACTCCCAACAATCCCTCTGCCTCAGCCTCCCAAGTGCTGGGGTTACAGGTGTACACCACCACACCAGGCTTTACTACTAGGGTTTAAACCGAAGGCCTTCGTGCTGAGTTACCACCCCATCCCATTTTTTACTTTTTATTTTGAGAGAGGATCTTGCTAAGTTTCCCAGCTTGGGTTTGAACAGGTGCTCTTTCTCCTTAGCCTTCCACAGTGCTGGGATTATAGGCCTCTGCCACAATCTTTTATTTTTGTGGTGCTGGGGATGAAACCCAGGGCTTCCCACATGCTGGGCAAGGACTCAACCACTGAGCTAGACCCTCAGCCCTAGTTTTCTTCTTTTTCTTTTGAAAAGAATTATACCAAGTAAATTTTATCAAAATTCCTATTACAAAGACTAAACATGGTGGTGCATGTCTGTAATCACAGCACTCAGGAGGCTGAGGCAGGATGATTGCTATGAGTTCAAGGCCACGCTAGGCTACATAATGAATTCAAGGCCAGCCTGGAGTATACAGCAAGATCCTGCCCCAGGAAAACAAAAATAAAGTGAAACAAAACCAAAAAACACAAACAAAACTTCTACTGCAAATTTATAAACAGTATTACAAATAGCAAATATGTCTATGTGTGCAGTGTTTTACGTATCCTAACCACCAAGAATAATTTCTGTTTTTGTGTGTGATGCTGGGGATTGACCCCAAGGTCTCACACATCCTAGAAAAGTGCTTAACCCAGAATGAGTTGTTTGGAGTACTGGTTCAGTACAAGTTTGAAAAGTTGGTATCTCATTATAGGAGAAAACAAAGGAATATTCACAGAATGATGGTGGTGTGTCAAAAAGATATAGACTCTGCCAGATGTGGTGGCACACACCTATAACCCCAGCATTCGGGAGGCTGAGGCAGGAGGATTGTTGCAAGTTTGAAACCAGCCTGGACTACACAGTGAGCTCAAGGCCAGCCTGAACTGCATAGAGAGACCCTGTCTCAAAAAAAAAAAGATATAAAATCCAAGCCAAGTTCAGTGGCATATACCTGTAATCCCAGCTACTCAGAGACTGAAGCAGGAGGATCACAAGTTCAAGGCCAGCCTGGGTAACTTGGGGAGACCTTATCTCAAAATAAATTTAAAAGAGTTGGGGATATATCTCAGTGATAGTACACCCTTGAGTTTGATCTCCAGCACAAAAGGGAGAGAGAGAGAGAGAGAGGTTGAAGGAACTCCCACTGGCCAATTCTGTGATGATCTATCAGTATAAATACTAACACTTTACTAGCTACTGAATACATAAGAGACCACAAGTTCATACTCATCTAAACAAAAACAAACAAATACATACATACAAACATTCACAGTGTGAAAAGGAGTATCTACACAGTTTCAAAATATCTCTTTGAAAAATGCTGATATATTACAAAGGGGAAAAGTGTAACTCAGTGGGGAAGCCTGGCAGGTATCACTTTAATCAAATGACCAGAGCAAGCATGGAACAGACTGAAATGTTTGCTACCTGATAGAGTGTATCAAGAAGAATTGAGAGCCAGTTGTGGTGACACCTGCCTCTCTGGGAGGCTGAGGCAGGGAGATCACAAGTTTGAGCCCATCCTGGGCAATTTAGCAACTTACTGAGATCTTCCCACAAAAAAAAAAAAAAAAAAAAAAAAAAAGGGCTGGAAATGTAGCTCGGTGTGAGGTCCTGGGTTCAAGCTCCAAAATTTTTTTTGTGGAAAAAAAATGTATAAAATATGCATGCCTACTGCTCTGCGCTTCATCCTTCAGGAGAGGCTGGCAGGAAGCTGAGCTTCCACCCTCTATGCCGGGCCGCTGTCACCTGACATCCAGGACCTCACTCTGTCCTCATGGCAGCTCTGCAAGGAGCCTTATTGTCCCAGCGGCTCTGAGGCTCGGAAACGACACAGGATCATCCCAAATCACCCAGCTGGGACATGATGGAGTCAGAGGTAGATGCCTGGGCTGGCAGCATTGGAGCCTCTGTTTTTCCCCATCCAGGGCACCAGGGCTACAGAAGGCCTGCCAGGCTGAGCTGGCCAAGGTCCAGGGACACGGCCCAATGGAGGACTGCCTCCCCTCCCCTCCCCTCCCCGACACTCCTGAAACCTAGGGCAGGCGCTGTGTACGCAGACCACAGGTGGGAAGGTTTGCAACATCTGCAGCGCAGGAAGCAGCAAGGGCCACGGCAGCAGCCACTCACTCTGGGAAACTCAGTTTCTATCTGCACAATTAACCCAGCTGATCCAGAGGAACAGACAAGGACTTTGAGGTCAGGTAGATCTGAGCTCTGTCCCTTCCTGTCGGGGTGACCTTAGGCAAAGCACTTCACCTTTTCTTCTTCACAGAGGAAAAACCTATGTTGCAGAGCAGCTCTCAATAGTAGAGTGGAACCTGGCTGACACGTAGTAGGTGCTCAATAAGTGGCAGCTATATTTCATAATCATCATAGCACAGCCGCTTAGGAGCTGCAGGAATCCAGGCTCGGGTTGGGGCTCTGAAAGACCTTTTTCCTGTAGGGGCCCCAGAAGTGGAGCGAGAGGAAGGGGCCTCTGGACTGCACCTTGGGCAAAGTCCTCCCAGCCCCCTATGTCCTGGCTCCCTTCCCTGCAGCCTGTTTCTTACCGACAACAGGAGCAGGGCCCCAAGGTTAGGCAAACAACTAGCGATAAGGCACTTCCAGGCTGGGCCTTGTGTTCAAGGCTTGTCCAGCTCTGCGGCTGGCTTCCTGGCTTAGCAAGAACCCCGGGCTCGTGCGCACAGTTAGAGCGGGCACCAGCAGAACACCGGTCACAGCCACCTGCTGATTGTGCACCTGAGGCCTTGGTGCACTGGTACAGCCTGGGTTAATGACCCTGTTTATCCGCTTGAGTCATCAGATAAGGGGTAGCCGTGCAGCCGGCAGGCAGCCCTGTCTGTGGCACTTCATTGAGAGAGGCGATATCAATGCCACGTGGAGCTTCCAATGTCCCCTCCCCCGCCACTTCCCCACCAGTCCTGGCAGGGTCAGTGTGTGTGCGTTGTTTTTTTCAATGAACATGACTTCTAGAGTCAAGGTTGTCGGGCCATTCCCCTTCCCGCCCATCGGGGATATAAATAGCACCCACACTGAAGCTCAGAGGGCCAGAGAGCTGGGAAGAACTAAGAGCAGGTCTCCAACCATGAGCTCCAGCCAGCCCGGGGCCTGCCCGTGCCAGGGTGCTGTGGGCCGTCCAGCCATTCTGCATGCACTCCTGAGCCCCAGCCTCAGGGCCAGGCCCCCTGCACCCCCGTCCCGCTGCCTATGTAGGCAGCACCGGCCCGTCCGCCTGTGTGCACCTCACCGCACCTGCCGGGAGGCCTTGGATGTCCTGGCCAAGATGGTGGCCTTCCTCAGGAACCTGCCGTCCTTCTGCCAGCTTCTCCCTCAAGACCAGCGGCGCCTGCTGCAGGGATGCTGGGGTCCCCTCTTCCTGCTTGGCTTGGCCCAAGACACTGTGACCTTTGAGGTGGCCGAGGCCCCGGTGCCCAGCATACTCAAGAAGATCCTGCTGGAGGAGCCCAGCAGCGGTGCTGGCGGCGGCCAGCTGCCCGACAGGCCCCAGCCCTCGCTGGCTGCTGTGCGGTGGCTTCAGTGCTGCCTGGAGTCCTTCTGGAGCCTGAAGCTCGGCCCTAAAGAGTACGCCTACCTGAAAGGGACCATCCTCTTCAATCCAGGTGAGCTCCCAGACACAGCCATGGAGGGAGGGGCGGGGAGCAGCAGACCTCCTGGGGCTGCGCCTCTGCCCTGTCGTTCGGTCCTCACTACCTTCAAACCGCAGACCCACAGAAAACGCCCAGAGAGGCTAGCAAGTAGCTGAAGTCTCACAGCCAGGCAGAGCAGGAAGGGCTAGGAACTTAGGTCTGTTCCTCCCCAGACTGCGCTGTGCCCCTGGGCCTGAGAAGTTCGCTCGGAGCCTAGGGAATGGGGGCAGGCAGGGCAGCTGTGTCCCTCCTTGTCTCCAAGGGCAGACTGTGTGGTGACATTCTGAAGGTTACACTCCTCCAAGTTCTGAAAGACTACACAAAGGGGAGGGATGGAAGGGATTCTGGGGATAGGGAGGGAGTGCTTGGGAACCCCCCGCCGTGCACCCGCCACAAGGCCCTCTGGCAGTGGAAGGAAGCACAGGGCCCATTGTAGTGACAGCAGAGACCTATGTGACACTTGCCATATATGAGAGCCCATTCTCAGGGGGTGTGTTTTTGTTTTGTTCTGTTTGTTTTTTAAGACAGGGTCTCACGATGTAATTCAGGTTGGTCTTCATCTCACTGTGTAGCCCAGGCTGCCCTGGAACTCACAGTGATCCTCCTCCCACAGGGGCTAGGGAGACAGGTGTGTGCACCAAATCGGGCTTCTAAGGGTTTTACATATAGGTTCATGGAAGCCTCATAATGCCGAGCATGGTGGCGCACGCCTGTAATCCCAGCGCTCGGGAGGATCGCTGTGAGTTTGAGGCCAGCCTGAGCTACACAGTGAGTCCTGAACTACATAGCAAGACTCTGTCTCAAAAAAAAAAAACAAAAAACGAAGAACAAAAAAACCAAAAACAAATAAAAAAGCCTCGTAACAAGACAGTCATTATCCACAGTTTACAGATGAAGAAACTGAGGCACAAAGATGAAGTAACTTGCCCAAGGTTATTCATCTAATAAATGTCGGCGCTGGGACTTGAACCCAGGCGGCCAGGTTCTCAACAACCATTCTTCCATATTGCTCTATAAAGGGCAGGGGTGGCTAAAATGATAAATAATGCAGGCCTCAAAGGCCAAGCAAAGGTAGCAGGGGGCACGGAGGGTGCAGTCCAGCAGCAGAGCCGGTGTCCGGCATGTGAAAGGTTCTGAGTTCCATCCCGACTACTGCAGTGAGAGAGGGGTCACAGAAAGGCACCTGCTGGTGGCCTCAGGTCCCAGGGCAGCTTCGTTCTCTGGTGGCGGGGTAGGGGAGCTCACCAGCCTTCTTCCCCTCTCCGCCTGCAGACGTGCCCGGCCTCCACGCCTCCTCCCACATCGGGCGCCTGCAGCAGCAGGCACACTGGGCACTGTGTGAAGTCCTGGAGCCCTGGTACTCAGCAGGCCAAGGCCGGTTGGCCCGAGTCCTCCTCACCGCCTCCACCCTCAAGAGCATCCCCCCCAGCCTCCTCGGGGACCTCTTCTTCCGCCCCATCATTGGTGACATTGACATCGGTGGACTTCTTGAGGATATGCTTTTGCTGAGGTGACTTTGGGGAGGAGGCCCCCAGAGCAGTCCCTCAGCCAACCGCCTCCCTAGCTTGGACCTCCTTGGTGTGGACACAGGGCTTCAGCCACCTAGCGGGGCTTTGATGGTTTCCAGAGCCTCCTTCAGCGGGGATGCAGGTTTAGGCTTCCCGTATTGCCAGGGTTCCTGCTAACTTTTTTTGTTTTGTTTTGTTTTTTGTTTTTGTTTTTCTCCGGTACCAGGAACCAAACTCATGACCTTGCGCTTGCCAGGCAGGCGCTTTTGCCGCTGAGCTAAATCCCCAGCCCCTCTGCTAACTTTGTACAGAACTGAATTAAGTTATTGTTTTTGTAATAAAAGGTGTGACACCCTTAGAGCCTGATGCTGTAGTCTGTGTACATGGAAGGGGCCAGCTCAGCACCAGGGCCCAAGGGGAAGGAGCCTCGAGGAGAACAGGACCAGCCTCAGGCAGCTGCAAGATTGATTCATCACAGTGGGAAGGTGATTTCATTTCTGGGGGTGAAATGAGTTGGATCTTACACCTGGTCTGACTCCAAGGGTGGTATCAGTTCAAAATGTCAGCATCTCCTTGCCTTTATCCTTGAGCGGATGGGGTTTCTCTCCTTGTCCCCAAATCTCCTGGATTCCTTCTTTCTACAGGAAAGAAGGAATTGGTCTCTTACCTCAGGAAAAGTGGGGTCACAGCCAGTCAGGAAACAACCTATTTCCACGCTGAAACAGACGAGGTCACTGTGCTTTCTGTAGTTTGGGAAGATTCACCTCAGCTGCATTTGTGCAGCTGACAGAAAGAACGGTGCACTCCACTATTCTCCCAGTGCAAGGGGAGCTGGGGCCCAGGGAGGGGGTCTGCAAGCATGTTGGAGACTGAGGCAGGCCAACATCGAGATGGCTCATAGTGGCAGGGCCAACCTACTCGGCACATGCCTGTAATCTCAACACTCAGGAGGCTGAGGCAGGAGGATCACTCAGGAGGCTACAAAGTGAGTTCAAGGTCAGCCTGAACTGCATAGTGAGACCCTGTCTCAAAAACACACATACACACACACAAGTCTGAAACACTTCCGTGACAGTTTGTTCACAGCCACTTTCCAGAGCACCCGAGTCCCCTTCTACTGCCCCTCTGCCCAGCCCCTGTCCTGGAACCTCCTCCTGGACATTCCCATCCTCCAGCCACCCGGAGGCTGCACTTGGCCTCCGGCCTGCTCCATTCAGAGAATGGCTTGATCTCGTCTGATTGGTCTATGTCTGCACCTCCATGCTTGCTCAATATTTGGACCCAGTTGCAGGGTGGCTGACCTCAGATGGGCAGGAGGATGTGATAACAACGCGCACACACCTATAGGGCTTGCCAGCTCCTCCTTTCCCAGCTGCAAAGGCTGCCCTAACCACCCCCCGCTCTGCCACCAGTTTGGATTCTTCTCACAGAGGGCCAGGTTAATTATTGCTCAGTGAGAGGTCATTCTTTCAAGGACAACGGTCTAGGAGTCATCATGCAGGCCTCTCTCAGGCCTCCAGGTTAGCACCCTGGTAAATGGGCCATGTACCCAGGACAGCACCCCGTGCCAGCAGAAGAGACACCTGTGTGCCTACCCAGTTTCCCACTCACAAGCCTGACACTCAAGAGAGCAGAAACACACACATCAGACTCTACAACAGACACACCACCACTCAGAAACAGAACACAGATGCACCTGCACAGACACACAACCTCCCTCTCCTTCCTCCTCCCCGTCTCTCTCTCTCTCTCTCTCTCTCTCTCTCTCTCTCTCTCACACACACACACACACACACACACTCATATAACAGACCCGCCAAACCTACATGGCACAGAAAAGCACAACCTGGATACACTCACTCAGCACTGTGCAGCAGACCCAAGCCACACATCACAGCTCTGCCCCCAAAGATGGGGGACACAACACAGGGACACTCTCACACCAGGGCATGCACCTCATCCTCCCTACGTTATGGTAAAGAGAAAAGTAACTGGGGATATAGCTCAGCGGCACAGCGCCTGCCTGGCAAGTGCAAGGTCCTGAGTTCGATTTTCAGTACCAAAAAAAGCGGGGCATGGTGGCACACACCTGTAATTCCAGCACTTGGGAGGCTGAGGCAGGAGGATTGTTGTGAGTTCGAAGCCAGCCTGGACTACATATGTGAGTTCAAGGCCAGCCAGAACTGCATAGTGAGACCCTGTCTCAAAAAGACAAAACAAAAACAAACAAACAAAAAGAAAGGTGGCTGTCTAAGTAGGCAGACCTGCTGTCTACTCATCTTCAGGGTCTACCCAGGGCTCGGAAATCCAAGACAAACTGATCTGCCCAGCATCTACCTCAAGAAGCCAGTCACCCCTTTCTCCGTGGCGACCCTGACATCCAGCTGCCTCTCAATCGGTCCCTCCAGCCCGGACCCAATCGAATCTCTACACAGAAACATCTTTTACAGCCCAGAGCAAGCCCTGCCTGCCTCGCCTCCCACGAGATGCTCGAGCCCTGACGGAGGACGAGGCCTCTTTCTGGCGCACACCAGCCACTCTAACCTTGCAGATGCACGGGCTGGGGCTCAGCCTTTTTTTAAAATTTGGGGTCATTTTCTGTCTTTGATGCCTGTTCACTGATGCCTTCAACTAGCTACATCCTCAGTCTGTCCTTCCTGCCACCTACCCTGTCATGCTCCGTCCTCAGCAAAGCGTTAGTGAGCACATCCTTGGCTGGACACACAGCACACGCCTGCAGTCCCAGCACTCGGGAGGCTGAGGCAGGAGGGTCGCTGCAAGTTCAAGGGCCAGCCTGGGCTACAAAGTGAGCTCAAGACCAGCCTGAATTGCATAGCGGGACCCTGTCTCAAAAAGGCAAAGAGAGAGAGAGAGAGAGAGAGAGAGAGAGACAATTATGGTACAATGCGACAAGGATAATAATGCTCTCCCCATGCAACTTCAGGCTTTCCAAGGGCAGGGGACTGTGTCTTGGTCATTGGCATCCCTTGGTGGCACCTATGTTTCACTTCCGGGTGGGGGGAAGAGGAGGAACCGGGCCTAGACGAGGTCTGTGACTTGCTTGAGGTCTGGGCTGATCATTGTCTGCTCTGGGCGTGAGTTCAGACCCTGAGACCTGGGTGACTTTGGAGGCCAGGTGCTTGCCACCAGCACAGGCTGAGTGAGTCACGGCCAGGGTCAGCCTGTCTGGAGCCAGCTTAGCCACTGTTTCCTGACTGTCTACTTCTCAGCCAGGATCCCCGTCCTCCAGCCCAGCCAGGGATGACTCAGTGGAAAGCAAGAGCGCGGACGTGGCTCCGGGTCAGCCCAAGGTACCATTTTATTGCCATCACTATCTCTGTCTTCAGCAGTCAAATCCCTGGCTGCCTGTGCAGTCAGGCGGCTGTGGTGAGCTGATCCCTGCACTTTCCTGCTCCGCCCTTAGGGCATTTGCAGATCCTAAAACCTATGACAATGGCAAAGCTGACCTTTATTATCTATCCATTTTCTCATTCCATTACGCAGCATCTCTCCACATCCACTTTTACCAGATCCTCTGCGAGATGCCCAGCATCGAGGCGGGGGTCAGGCAGATACAGTTGCTGCCCTCATGGAACACCCTACTCAGGGCAGAAGAAGAGCGGGTGCTTGTACAATGGGAAGCAGCAAAATGACTAAATCTACCGCAGATTCGAAAAAGGCTTCGCCCAAGGGATGGCTGTTTTGAGAATGAACAGGGGTTTGCACAGTACAGCGATACAGAGAGACTGACAAATGCAAAGGCGCCCGCGCGTCAGAGAGCAAGGGACGCGCGCTGAGCATGGGGTGGCCCGGGTGGGGCTCGGGGCAGCAAGCGAAGGGCCTGAGAGGCGGACAGGAGCTGCGTCGAGGAATAAGAGGCACAGAAAGGAAACGCCAGGGACACTGGTGGAAGCGGCGAGGCTAAGGCGTCAGGAGAATCGAGGCTGTGGCATGCTTGAGCCAGGGATACAGTCAGGTGCAGTGGTGCTTGCCTATAATCCCAGCTACTCAGAAAGCCCAGGCAGCAGGATGAAAAGTCAGAGGCCAATCTGGACAGCACCGCTACCGCCTGCCCGGAAATTCCGCGGGGAGGGGGAGGGATCAAGATGGGCGTGTATCTCAGCAGTAGAGCCCTTGCCTATCTGACCCCCAGCCAGCAAAGCAACAACAAAGATCGAAGAGTCAGGGATGATCCATTGAAGAATAGGTAACAGAGATAATGAGATTCTCCTATATATACATATATATATACATACACTGTAAATAAAAGCAAAAATGAGGTTGTGTGTGTGTGTGTGTGTGTGTGTGTGTGTGTTACTGGGGGTCAAACCCTGGGGCATTGTATCATGAGCTACACACCCAGCCCTTTTTAAAAACTTTCTATTTTGACACAGGGTCTCACTAAATTGTCCTGCAGAGACTTAAACTTGCAATACCCCTGCCTCAGCCTCCCTCAGGGCTGGGATTACAGATGTGTGCCACCCCCAGCCAAATGTGAAATATTGGTTATCTTTTTTTTTTTTTTGGTTTTGTTTTTGGTACCGGGAATCGAACTCACGACCTCGCCCTTGCCAGGCGAGCGCTGTGCTGCTGAGCTATATCCCCAGCCCAATCTGGGTGATCTTTTTTTTTGTTTTGTTTTGTTTTCCGGTACCGGGCATTGAACTCACGACCTTGCGCTTGCCGAGCAGGCCCTTTCCGGGCAGGCGCTGTGCCACTGAGCTAAATCCCCAGCCCCCAATCTTGATTATCTTTAGGTTTAAATTATTGATGAGAAATAGGATCTGTGTATCCACCCAGGGAAGTGGTCCTCTTGTCCTTGGAGGAAGACCCAGCCACCCTCAGGGGTCTGTTTCCACATCAGGGCTGGGAATATTCATTCCACCAATGATTTACCAAGACGACTATGTATTGGATACCATGCTCAGGCCTAGAAATTTAGTTCCACAATTGGAACTTGTGAATAATTATATGCCTTGGTCACCTAACAGCTTTGCCAGAGCATATCATCTTTATCTTGGCTTTTGTTGTTGTTTTGTTTTGTTTGTTTTGTTGTTTTGAGACAGGGTCTCTCACTATCTAGTTCAGGCTATCCTTTTTTTTTTTTTTTGGTTTTTTGGTTTTTTGGTTTTTTCTGGTACCAGGAGTTGAACTCACAACTTTGCGCTTGCAAGACAGGTGCTGTGCTGCTGAGCTAAATCCCCAGCCCCAAGGCTATCCTTGAATTGACTATGTAGCCCAGGCTGGCTTTGAACTCCCAGCAATCCTCCTGCCTCAGCCTCCTGAGTGCTGGGATTACAGGCGTGCGCCACCACGCCCAGCTGTTGTTGTTATTTTGAGACAGGGTCTCACTCTGTAATTGAGGCTAGCCTTGAACTCAGGTTGTATCCCAGGTTGGTGATCCTCTTGCCTCAGGTTCCCCAGTGCTGGATTACAGTCATGCACTACCACATCTGGCTATTTTGGCTTTCTTTATTTGCTATAGAGTACTTATTTTTCATTTTCCATATTTTTAAAAGATTACTTTCAACTAAATCCATTCTGTATAATGTACAGAAATGTTCACAAGTTGCAATATCACAAAATGAGCCGCGTGTTGTGGCGCATGTCTGTAATCCCAGCACTCAGGAGGCTGAGGCAGGAGGATGTTGTGAGTTCGAGGGCAGCCTGAGCTACAAAGTGAGCTCAAGGCCAGCCTGAACTGTAGAGTGAGACCCTGTCTCAAAAAGACAAAACAAACAAACAAAAGAATACATCTCCCTAACCATCACACAGTTCAAGAAATAGAGCATTGGAATTGTGAGATAGTGTAGCAGGAAATGGCCCCGGTCAGTGTATTAGCTACCCAGGTAACAGTTCCTGTTACAGTTCCTTCTGTCTCCTAGAAACGTCTGGTCACTATGATGCAATTTGTAAGAACCAATCAAAGACAGCCAAGTGCCCTGCCTCTGTACTTCCCCTTTGCAACCAACTCCATAAAAACCTCCCTCCCAGGGCCTTTGGGGCCTGGTATTCTGGGAATGATCCTGATCAGTGCCTGTGGATGTGAATAAATCTGCCTCCAAATCCTGGGTGTCTTTTGGTGTTTCTGTTTACTGTTGCAGGAAGATAGAAGAAATAAATGATAGGTGGAAAGGGGGTAAGGAAACAAGAATCAAATACTGTAATTTTAAGAAATCTGCAACGTCATGGAGCCAACCAAAGTTGCCCAAGGTGATCATCATTTCTTTGGCTAAATGCAGGCTCCTTCCTAAACAGACTCATCACACCCAAAATATTGAAGGAATATTGGAAGTCCATAAATTGGCTTAATTGAAAAAGTAAAGAGCAGGAACCTGATCCTAAGATAAAGGAGCTGGCTGAGAGAATCCAAAGAAGCTTAAGTTACCTATTTTTAAAAAACAAAAGTTCTCAGGCATGGTGACACACACCTGTAATCCCAGCACTCGGGAGGCTGAGGCAGGAGAATCACCCCGAGTTCAAAGCCAGCCTAAACTACATAGTGAGACCTTATGTCTCAAAAAAACAAAACAGTGCTGGGCATGGTGGTGCATGCCTGTAATCCTAGCACTCAGGAGGCTGAGGATTGTTGCAAGCTCAAGGCCAGCCTGAACTGCATAGC